TGTCGGATCGAAACGTTATCCGCCCGGCCAGTGGATGCGAGATAAACGCGTCGCAAGTCTACCTGGACACACGGGACTAAACACAACGCGGTGACTCCAAGCGAGTAGATCAGTTTCGGTGAACGAACGCTATTGAAGACGCGAGCCACGCATCCCCGGAAGGGATGGTGGGCCTCAGTAAATGGCGACATGGAAAACGCTTTCGAAAAGGCGCAGAGCGATGGGGTGGCTTGCCCGTAAGACCCAGTCGTGGCGGAGTAGGGGCGAAGTAACAGACGGTACCCAGCGAGGGAAAGGACACACCCCAACGGGTGTTGACCCAAATGCCCCTCTTGACGAGAAGTAACACAGCCACTCGACTCACGGACGTATACGAGAGAGGGTTATCATAACGTATATGGGCCGGAGAAGTGATGGCTCACAGGGGGAGAGAGGAATCATACCATTGCAGAGTTCAAACGGATCAACATATTCCGGAGAGGGCTTTAAACGCAGTTCAGATGGAATAAAAGCACTGAATAGTGGAATCGATTCAGTAAAGTTGGAGCGTTGTTGAGGCCGGATCAGGTAAGTATGAGAGTGTTTCTTTTGGGTTTCTTTTAGTTGTGTTGTGTTGTTTTATTTCACAGTAGTTTCGATACACAGGACTAGTAGGGACTCGAGGGTCGAGTTCCTCGCGTTTTAGACACGCTCCCCCATTCAATATCAGGGCCACTGGACCATTGGACGGGATCAGCAGTTTCCACACGCCCCAGTGGGCCAGGTTCGACCTAAGGAGGGCCTGGCCTTACGGCTCGTGTCACAGGCTCAGTCCGAAAGACGAGGGACACCTTCGCTGTTGCTGTTCTTTGCCTTTGAGAACTCGTTCTGAACAGCTTTGATGCACTCGACAAGCTTTTCAGGACCCAAAATTTCTGCGAGCATTTTTAAAAACGCCCCTTCAGGAGGTGGTGAATCTGAATTGGTGTCCCAGATCGTATGAGACTTGGTGTGCCATTGAGATCAACGGTTGCCGTTTCTAGTCTGATGCCATCTGCCACCCTTGGTATGTATTTTGATATTGATTTTCATAGTATGACAACTTGGCCGAGTGGTCTAAGGCGTCGGACTTGAAATCCGATACGCTCTGCGTGCGCAGGTTCAAACCCTGCAGTTGTCGCCAATCCTTTTTTTAAAAAAATCGAGGGAAGCAAGGGAGGGGGTGGCTGGGGAACGTGGCAACTCGGCGAAAGTGGTGGCGCCAATCGAGCGACTTACCGTGGTTCGGTTGCTGGGGACTTGGAATATGAGTTTGGTGCGAGTCTCCCGCAAGAAACGACGCCTTCTCAACACCCTCAGCATGTTTATATGATCACGGGAAGGAGAGAAAGGGACGAGCGACACTGGCTCTCTTTTTTCTAGACAAACACCTTTTTTTCTCGCAATCCCAAAACAGGGAAAGAACACCGACCCAACTCTTGTCTTGCGCGTCTTCCCATTAATGCAATCGACCAAAAAAAATAATAAAAAAGAATGGCGACAACTGCAGGGTTTGAACCTGCGCACGCAGAGCGTATCGGATTTCAAGTCCGACGCCTTAGACCACTCGGCCAAGTTGTCATGTTTTCAAATTCAATTTCAAAGATCACACTTCATTAATATCATCTGCCTCGCCTGCCTACGAATAAATCAATGACCGAGACCGAATGGCTTCCGTGGCTTTCGAACGTCCCAGCCGAGTTTGTCCAAACTCTTGAACCAATCTGGTCGAGTTGGCTTAATGATTTGAATTTGTGATCATCTCAACTCACCTATCGACGCATTCTCCTGACAAATACTCGGAAACGGAGAATCCTCAGCAATTCGAATCACAATCGCGTGCGACTTGGTTATTTCGAATCCATCTCTCCCATCAAAAGAGACCTTATCCACCGAAATTAAAACGTGTCAGTACCCATTGGAAAGGTGGAATTAATCTTTCTTACCCAGGCGTTGCTTCTCGCCGAAGGACTGATGCGCAACCCGATCGAAAGACTCGAGGGCAGGAGCATGGGTCTTGCTGACAATGTGTGTGGACAGATACGTGTGACTTTTTCATTTGATGGGGGTGAGATATCCCACTCAAATAAGTAACACACATCCAAAAACAAACTTACCAATCAGGGAGGACTTTGATGGATGCACGAGCGGCCCGCCTGCGCTCAAATTATACGCGGTGGATCCAGTGGGAGTTGCAATCACCAAGCCATCCCCAATAACGGTGGACACATGCGCCTTGTCCGCGCTGTTTTTTGTTGTTCAATTCAAAATCAATACCAAGGACGCAGAATCAAGGAAAGGAAAGAAACCCCTCGCGCAAACTCAACTAAAACTCCAAATTCGCCAACCCATTCCCACCTCGATGCACTACCACCTCGTTCAACACCTTTCTCGAAAACACGTGGTCCCCGAGACTGTCAAACACGTCCTCCCCTCGATCCACAGCCCCGGCCCCTCGATAGTAAACGTCTGCTTGTAACCGCATCCGCATGTTGACATGTTTCGGGCGTCCATCGAGAATGTCATGCAGGACTGTTTCGTACGTTGCGTGGTCAAAGACGGTGAGGAAGCCGAGGGATCCGAGGTGGAAGGGGACGATTGGAGGAACGCGATTCTGTCAATGGAGGGAATAAGAAGCGAAAGATTCAGCATATTCGCGCGTGACAGGACATAGACACCTGAAAGAGACTCGATGTGTACAAAACGGTCCCATCCCCACCCAGAGTCACCACCAAATCAACCTCTGCTCCATGTGAGTGACAAAACTCGGGATTCCAATGCTTGACCTTGTCCCCAATAGAATCTGTGGATCCCGCGTGTTTGAGAAAGGAGCGTAAACACAGGGAATCATCATACACGCCAAAGACCCAAATCCTCACCCGAAATCGGAATCTCAGTGCCCACAAGCGCTCGCACTCCTCGTTTCGCGCAGAGTCCCGCCATGGACATGGTCAAATCATTGAGGTTGCAGTTTCGTCGAGTCACAAACATGACTTGTTTCACGTTTCCGCCACGGAATTCTGATAGGATGTGTGGTGGAAGCTTCGTATCGCAAGGATTCGGTCTAATAAGGTTTATCCCGTGTTCAGTAAGTTGTTAAAAAAACTTGGATCGTGAATCACGTTTGCGTTGGCGAGTTTGGTTGATCCCACGGGCTCGGGTTTCGTTGGAGGACACTTGCGGAGAAGGATCGAGTGAAAGCAGAGACGGAGAGCGGACGGTGGCCATGGCGCTGCAATAGTCGGCGTGACAAATGACTCATTTTTACCCAAAGTTCTTGCGGTTTGGAAAGGTGTCATTCAACAACGGCTTTTTGCGAAGCAGTGAAATTGATGGTAGCACCGGTGGCATCGAGGCTCTGGAAAGGCGTCTCCATTTCCTTTCCTTCCCAGACGCTGTCGTCACAGTTGTGACAATCAAATCAAGCGCGTACGCCCTCTCCAGCAAAAAAATTTGGCGCGCAATCTCCACCCCATCTCCGTCCCCGCAACCGCTCCCAGGGGAAAACAAACCAAAAATCCGCCACTGAGTGATGAGAAAAAAAGCCTGATACGGGGGTCGAACCCGTGACCACCCGCTTAAAAGGCGGGTGCTCTAAACCACTGAGCTAATCGGGCTTGATATTTGATTGGTATTTGCAATCAAGACGCTAGTGTGAAACTAAAAGATAATAAAACGAGTGTTGGGAGTAGAAAATCCCATTTTTTCTCATCACGTTCCTCCGATTGTCCCCTTCGACTTGGGACCCCTTCGCGGATTCTTCACCGGCTTCAATCACACAACGTATCAAACCGTCTTAAGGATATCCTGGACATATGGAGCCAAGAGTTTGAGGTATAGAAACGTAATTCTTCACGATTGCTTCAAATATAAAAATGATCTTTATTTCTTCTGCTTTTCTTCGTCAACCCACAATATAGTATTTGCCATGATGGCTCGAGAGACGGCCCATCTCAAGCAACATCACGAGAACGGGTTTGACCTTGTTCGATTCTGCAAACGAAAGAAAAAACATCGATTTTCAGATCCTTGGGGCTGCAACAACAGCAAAAACACGAGGCGGCTTCGCGTCAAAAAGCAAGCAATCTTACCCAACGTTCCTGCGCTCATCAACTCATCCATTGTGAGGCATTCGGTTTGGTCCTCGTCTTCTCCCATGCCTTGGAATCGCTTGTCTGTGACGTATTCGTTGATTTCTGTGATGGCCTCGTTGAGATACTGTCGCCAATAAAAAGAGTGATTAGGAAGGGGCTACACAAGCAAGTGGTGGCCGAGAAAAAAGAACTTTCCAACCTCGAACGAAATTTGTGCCTTCATCAAAGTCGAAATCTTTTCGTACTCGTCCATTCTCGCGTTTCGAATCAAATCGCCAAAGATGGAGTTGCTGTCCGAAACAGAGTGATGAATGGGCGTTGGTGTGATTTCAGGAATACTTGGTGAAGATTTGAGCGCATCGTTTGAGCTGCCCGTCGAGAAACGGAGGGCAGTGAGACGATGCGCGATGGGCGTGGATTGAGGAGAAACCGTGTCGAGAGAAGAGGGTGGCAGTGTGGAACCCAAGTTCAAGAGACCCATTCCAAATGACGAGATTCCTAGCGATTCGAGCGTCGGACTTGGGGGATCCACGAGGCACGTTTCCTCCATGATTCCGACACCACCACCACCGCCACCACCGCGGATCATCATGTGACTCATGTCGTCTTCGTCGCTGTCGGATGAGGATTCAGCTACTTCAGCCATGCGGCCTGGAGTCTCGGCAAACAGAAACTGCTCGTTTTGAATGGAAGACAGTCTTCCGATGTCTCCTCTCATGTCGTTGTCGCGTTCCATCAGGCTCAGGTCTTCAAACTCGTTGCTGCCCACAAGACCACCCAGGGTTTGTCCTCCAGGGGTTTCAAAAGCAAACTGGGCAGATGACAGTGGTTGAGGCTTCTTTGGTGTTTCGATGATGTTCGGTTTTGGAATGAGGTTGAGGTTTGGGGCTGTGGTGGTTATGATGTTTGAGTTCAAACTGACAGGCTCTGAGGTGGGCAAAAACATACGCGGGATGAAGCCAAACTTTGCCATGTGGGTCTGAAGGGCGACAGCGGCGTCTCTGTTCTATTGGCGAAATATGGTCAACCTTGTGAATCGAAAAACCGGGGTTCAACGCACCCGCCTGGCCGTTTCCCAGCGAGCCTTGTCGTCCGCGCTTTCTCCTGGCGAATCCGCGGCGGCTGCGAGAATGTCCTGAAGCTGCGTCTCGAGTTCTTTGCACGCGTCGAGGGCGGCGTGAAGCACGGTGAGGTCTGACGCCACGTTGCCCTGCGAGAGGCGGCCGCTAATGACAAGTGCAGTGAGTGAGTGAGTGCTCTCTTGTTGTTGCCAGACTACTTCAAAACGACTCACATGATGCCCTTGATGCGCGTCTCAGTGTCGCAAGTGAGTAAGGCGAGTTGGCGGGCGGCCTCCATTTTTGTTTTTAGTTTTTCGTCCGAAAAATGAAACTTTGTTTTTGCTTTGTCTTGCTTTAGTACCCTTTCCATTTCTTTAATTAAACTTCTCTCCCCGCAAAATAATAAAACAATAGAACTACGAACTGATTTAAAGGGCTAGTTTTGAAGAAATGAGAAAAGTGATATCTGGCGGTGATCAGCGCCAATTTTCTTGAGTTGGTCGAAGACACCCAGAGAAAAGGGGAGGAGATGGCGAGTGACCCACAAAAAAATGCCTTCCATCACTGACACCGTCGGCTACTTAGACTCTGCGTGCGCGAAGCCAATCCGCATCGATTACTCGTTCCCCAACAGCACGAGCTGCGTCTCTGCCAACGTTTCAAGCACGTGCGTGCCAGGCCCTGTCGTTCTTGGAGGCAAACAACAATGGTTCTCCAACCAAGCTTGTACCAGCGACCCCACCACATTCGGCAACAGCTTCTTTGGCGCTTCCACTCCTCAAGTTCTCGCTCTCGTGTCCAGCCAGAACTGCTCGTCCCCACCCACCAGCGGAACGCATTACCCGTTCGCCTCGTGTGTGCCAACACTGGGTCAAGTTTCGACGTCAGACTACCTGTACAACTCATTTCGCGTGACCGAGGACGTATCCACTGGAGCCCTCTATTGGGCCGCGTTTTCGGACGTTGCATGCACGTCGTTTGCCGGT